AAAGAAGAACATGAGAAGCATTTGCGTACAGTTATTGATTTACTTAGAGCGCATAAGTTGTTTGCTAAAATCTGAGAAGTGTGAGTTTTGGTTAAAGGTGGTGAAATTTTTAGGGCATGTTGTGTTAGAAGAGGGGGTAACTGTGGATTCCTCTAAGAATGATGTCGTACAAGAGTGGGAACAGCCTAAGAACAGTTTTGAAATCCAAAGTTTCTAAGGGTTAGTTGGGTATTATGGTCATTTCGTAAGGGACTTATCTAGATTAGCTACATCGTTAACCAGGTTAACCAGAAAGGGTGTCAAATATGTATGGAACGAGACTTGTGAAAAGTCATTTAAAGAGCTTAGGGTTAGATTGACTACCACTCCAGTTTTCATGATTCCAAAAAGGGGCTTGGGCTATACCGTGTATTGTGATGTGTCCCGGGATGGGTTTGGGTGTGTGTTTATGCAAGGGGGAAAGGTTGTAGCTTATGGGTCACGACAGTTGAAAAACCATGAGAAGAACTACCCTACTCATGATTTAGAACTAGCAGTAGTGATTTTTGCATTGAAAATTTGGAGACATTATTTGTACAGTTAGAAGTTTGACATTTATTTTGACCACAAGAGCTTAAAATACTTGTTTTCTCAAAAAGACTTGAATTTGTGCCAACATAGGTGGATAGAGTATATAGAAGACTATGATTTTCAGTTACACTATCATCTGGGAAAGGCCAATGTTGTAGCCGATGCCCTTAGCCAAAAGTTTGTGAGTAGTATGGTCATTCAGGAATAGAATATGATGGGTGATATTGGTGAGTATGACTTGCATCTTAGCGAGTCTAGTGAAGGTGTTACATTGTTTACTCTAACTGCACAACCCACCTTGATTAGCAAAATCATGGAAGCACAATAGGGTGACCATGAGATGGAGGCAATTTGTGAGAGAGTCTCAAATGGGAAGGAAGAGAAGGGTTTGAACATCTATTCGAATCTTAGTGTGAGATATTTAGATCATCTATTCATACCAAAACCTTGTAGAGAGGAGATACTACGAGAGTTTCATCATTTGCGCCTTGCGGTACATCCGAGAGGCACAAAAAATATACCGAGATCTGAGTCAACAGTTTTGGTGGAGGGGCATGAAACATGATGTTGCTTTATTTGTATCGAAATGCCTCACTTGTCAACAAGTGAAAGCCGAACACTAAAGACCAGCGGGTTTGTTACAACCCCTACCCATAGCCGAATAGAAGTGGGAACATGTTACCATGGACTTCGTGGTTAGATTTCTGGGCACACAACGGGGTAAGGATGCTATTTTGGGTGGTTGTTGATAGGTTGACTAAGTCTACACACTTCATTCCTATGCGCTTAGGCGACTCAGTTGATTATTTGGTAAAGTTATACATTAAAGACATAGTTTGACTTCATGGGGTTCCAGTGACCATTGTATCAGATAGAGACCCACGTTTCATTGCTCGGTTGTGGCAGAGTCTTCAAGAAGCCTTGGGAACTAAGTCAACCTTTAGCATGGCCTGTCATCACCAAACTGATGGGCAATCCGAGCGTACTATAAAATTTTTGGAAGATATGGTTAGAGCTTGTGTTTTAGATTTCAAGGGGTCATGGGAGAAACACTTACCGTTGGTTAAGTTTGCCTACAACAGCAGTTATCATGTGAGTATAGGAATGGCGCCGTTTGAGGCCTTGTATGGCTAACCTTGTAGATCACTGGTTTGTTGGGCCAAAGTAGGAGATGCACCGATGCTGGTGTAGACACCCCATTTTTGACAGCTCGCAAAACTTGGGCGCTTTGTTCTGTGCACTCGATGATGAAAGTTACAATGTGTATGATTCAAATTCTCAACGAAGGAATTTAAGCTCAAGCTCTGAAACAATCCCAAAACCTTCATATTTACACTATTCTTACCTAAGAGGTCCCTTTTTGAACATTGTGCCACCCTATATCGAGCTTGAAATAGAGGAACTTAGGAGCACATTGGGGCTTGGCCATGCCTCATTGGGAGCTGGCCGTGGCTAGTTGGGGCCAGTCGTGCCTTTTTGGCGAGAAACACTGTTCTGGGCAGGAATCAGCTAGTTGTCTATTTTTGAAGATATTCGTGATCTATTTTGCTCAAATTCTATAAATATGAACTGATCCCACTATATTAAGGGTTAGAAAAATTTCAAAGAAGCAAAAACTCCTTTGAGAGATCATTTTTGCTTTGCAAGTTAGCTTTGAGATATTATATCATCCTTGAACTATATCTATACATCCTATACACCCTTAGAGCTAAACCTTAGAGCCTTGGTTGAGACTTGTGAATCATAATTCAACCTTGAGAGTGTGCCAGGACCTAGTTTGGATTACAACCAAAGCTTGCTCTCTTCAAGAAGTATAAGCTTGTCACCTTTTCTCTTACTTTCATTTCTGTCTCTTTCTATCTATTTCTTGTATCTTTTTGTTGTTTTGAATCCATTTCAAGTATTAGAACTTGGGGTTGAATAGCTACCAAAGGTAGAAAGGGTTAACACCCTTTCTTACACCTTATTTCATAGCTCATCTCCTTAGTTTTACCATTATTTTTCTTGGTCTTCAAACTAATTTTCAGACTATCTTTTTGTGCTCTTTCACATAATTTTTAGCCACTGTTTTTTACATATTAGGGGTTGTTTAGGGTTGTTTTAATTCGTTTAATTAGTTTATGCTTTGACTACTTTGCTTGTTGTGTTGTAAGTCCTCATAGCTTCGGTTGTTTAGACCTTAGACACCGAGTCATTCGAGTTGATAGCCTTCTTTACCTTCATTTCACGTAAATAATCAATCTCGCATAATCATTTATGTACTCTCCCTCCTTTCTTGGTTTTTTCTTTATTTGAGAGTTATTTCAAGTGATTGATTGTTATTCAAGGCATGAGAAAGAGACCTATGCTTAATGGCTTAATCTCTACGGAGGTTCATCATCAAGGCATAGTCTCCATTTCATGCTATGAATCACTTCTCGTTTGACATTTCTTCTCTTTTAGTGGACTTACCCATCACTTTGGACAAATTGATTAAGTAATGGAAAGGTAAATAAAAAAGGATTAATAAAATTAGTTTAAAACCAACATAAAAAAAAATGTTTAGAATTGGTTAGATTCGACCGAACGTTATGCCGAGTCCATCGCTTTGAGAATTGTCACTTATCAATCCAAGATATTTTGATGAAACTTGAGGCATGTCTATTTCTCTCTTTAAGCTAAATTCATGATAAGGAGAGGTGGTCACCTTTCATTACATTTATTGATTTTTGTCCAAATTGTGTTCAACCTCATCAAGCCATCAATGTGCTTGTTGATGATTTTGGAACTGAATCCATTCTTCTCTTGAAGTGCCACATGACAGAGAAGAGTAGAAGGGACAAATAGGGCTCAGAAAGGCTCTGTCTGCAATTTCACCTCAGAGCATAAAAATAGGTTTTTGCATGAAATTAAGGCACGATCGGCCTTATTTGGACTTGGTTGGGCCTTATTGGGGGCCGACTGGGCTCCAATGTTTGGTAAGCAAAACATTTTGGCAGAAACAGATGGCAGTGGCTGAGAGTGGAACAGGGCAAATCTGGGCAGACAGAGTAGTTTCTGAACACTGTCTTCATCAGCGCGCATGTGTTCTTTGTGAATTCTAATTGTTGTAATTGCTGTAATAAATTAAATAGTTAGAGCATCTCCAATGGAGCTGCTATATCACTTGCCAAAGCTAAAAAATGACAGGAATGGCAAAAATGAGTCTCCAACGGCCTGCTATTTCAGTTGCCAAAGATGGCAGATGCCATATGTGTTCTCAAATTTGGCAAGTGAAATGGCAGATACCAACCTTGCCAGATCAACAAAAATCAACAGAATTAATCCAGTAGGGAAGCTATTTACCAAAATCAAACCCAATTTTCACAATCAAGCAAATTTCAGAATAAAATTGACAAAACACATGAAGACATATATATATATATATGATCAAACCCATGAAAACAAATCGTATATTTATATATGATCAAACCCATGAAGCCATAGCAGACCGTATATATATATATGATCAAAATCAAACCCAAAACATATATATATATATATATATATGAAGACAGATTTTTTTGATGGAGATCAAGACAGATCAAAACATATATATATATATATATGCAGACAAATCAAAAAATATATGTATATAGATGAAGATCGTACCAGAGACGGAGAGTACATAGATCGGAGGGAGACAGAGTCAAACTAGAGAGGGGGTTCCGATCTTGGAGGAGAAGGGGGTGATCGGGTCCGATCATAGAGGAGAAGTGGTTCTGATCTTGGAGGACATCATGGAGGAGGGGGTTCCGATCTTGGAAGAGAAGGGGAGATCGGGTTCCGATCTTGTGCTCTATTTGGTTTGTGCTCTGTTTGATTTCGGCCATGGAGGAGAGGACAGAGTGAGAATGAGAGGGAGAGGAAGAGTCGTGGACGAGATGAGAGTGAGAAATTCTAGATAGATGTATGGCAAAATAGTGATGCCTCATCAGTGTAAATAAAGAGTCATTCGGCTCTGTTTGGTTTGTTCAACCAAAAAAAAAAAATGAAATTATTTTTTACAACGGCTCTTTAAACGGCTATTTGCCAAACGGTAATATATTTAATTTCTATAAATTGAAACCTTCCATGCCACTTTTATTTCACACAAATAGTTACATTTAATTTTTCTTTTCTCCTCTCTTCTTTGAATCTGATTTCACAACAAACCTCTTAAATTATTTTCTTTTTATTTTTTTCATCCAATCACTATGGAAGGATCATCAAAAACAAAGAGAGGAAAATCATTCACCATTGAAGAAGATATGTCAATTTGTAAATCTTGGTGTCACATTTCGGAAGACCCAATTGTTAGCAATTCGCAATCGTATGCTCACTTTTGGGGGAGAATTTACGAAAATTTATGCCTGCTTCAGAATGATCAGTCCAGAACACAAGTGTCTATTCAATCTCGATGGGGTATAATCATGAAATGTTCTAACAAATTTCGGGGATGTTTAGCTCAAGTCAAAAATCTTCACCCAAGTGAGATTTCTCAAGTTGATATAGTAAGTTTTTATTTTCAATTATTATGTCTGGTTTCTTATTTTCGTATCGTATAAAAATTAAGTAATTAAATAATGTTTCAATTTTTTTTAAACAGATGCTTCAAGCAAAATTGTTATACCATCAAGATGAAAACAAACATTTTCTTTTTGAACATTGTTGGCCAATCTTGCAAAACAATATTAGGTGGCAAGATGTAACTCCTACGAACACAGTGAAGTCAAGAATACATACACCGTTTTCCCCTAATTCAACCCCCGATTCTCCTATGGATAACTCCATTTCTCTTGAAGATGACACCAGTCCAAGTGTTGGTAACAATCCAACTGTCGGTGAAGGCAGTGTCTCTGCAAGGGGTAAAAGGCCGATGGGTAGGAAATCTGCAAAAGAATTATTCCGGAGAAATCAAGTCATTGAAACTGAAGTCCAAAAAATGAGCATACAATTAGACACATTTAACCAACACCTTGCTGAGAAAGAAAAGAAAAAAGAGGAAAGAGAAGAAAAAAGGATTCAAGCACTACAGGAGATGAAAGAACTTGAGATGAAAAAGCATGAGTTTGAGATGAAAAAGGAAGAACACCAAATAATGACTACGGACATTTCTCATTTGGACCCTCAGATGAAAGCGTATTACACAATGCGAAAAAATGAGATTGTCGCCAAGTGGTCCTCAAATGTGAGCAGCCCAAATTTTTATTTCCCCCTACCTCCTGATGAATAATTACGAGATAATGTATTTTTGAAATTTGCAATATCTTTTATTTTTTGATGTAATTGTTAGTCTTT